TCATTTAAACAAAACGGGACAAAGCGAGAATTATAATTTAGTTATGAAAGCCGACCAATAATTCAAAAAATATATTTTATTGTATACATTCATATACTTGTCTATAAATATACAGAAATATATTTATATTAATTATTGATAACTATAAAAATATTTGTGAAAAACAAAAATTTGAACATTATGATTTTTTATTGATTTAAATTTTTTATTTAGAAAAATGACGATTTTCTTTCACGGTCATATTTTTGTTCCGAGTGAATACGTCGCAATAGATTGGGATTATTTATTAAATTTTTGTGTAATTTCTCACATGAATTGGTCGAATTATATTTTACGCTTAATATAGATTTTAACGTTTTAATGTTCAAATGCGTTTTTTTCAGTTGTCTATGTTTTAATGATACCAGAAAAAACACTTTCTGTTGTTGCATTTGTTCCTGGAAAAACAGAGCGCGTATTCTAAAGTTTTCAAAACATTTTGATAAAAAATATTATTCTATTTAAAATGAAAGCACAACTCCGTCCATTGTCTGTACATTTGCGCAGACAACCAACATTTAATTTTTTCATCAGTAACATATCTTCTTACCAATGACGCCTCATCAAAAAGATAATTTTCGCAAATATTATTTTTCGGAAAATGGCTACCAAAGATTTTTCCACATAATCCCATAAAATCTCCTTTTTTAATGTCCCCCAGTGAAAATTTTGAATATCCTCGAATTTAACTGTCCGTTCTTTTTATTATATATTAAGATATTTCAAACAGTTATTATATTATAAAATTTCCTGATTTCTTTTAGAAAATTCGGTCGTTTAATGGCGCCTTGTCCTTTCAACCTAAAGATGTCCTTTCGAATAACTAAAGAAACGCAATCGTTATCAATTCTTTCTCGCAATTTTCTTAAAATTATTGATTTCATTTGACACTTCCGTAATTGAAATTTTGTCCCTTCAATAATTTTCACAGCATTGTAAAAGAATGTACCTTGGTTGTGGATGAACTGAAGACCAATTTGTGATGTGTCATTTTGAAAAACAGCTGCAGTATTCTCGGACATTTATCTTATGATAAAAAGTATGATTTTAATGGTTCATATATTTTTAAAATATTTTCTACAGCTGGTAAAAGAGCTAGCCATCGTGTTTTGCTGTAACCAATAATTCTTTTATATTCGATTTCTGCGCTTTCACAAAAATCCTTCAAACTTTTGACACGCACAGTATATATATATATATACGAATATATTGGTTCAAATGTTCGTTGAAGTTTCGTAAAAACGTTATTGATGCCTCTTTTAGCTTTTCCACCAAAATTTGCGTTATTGTCAACAATAAAATTATTGCCTCACAATAGGCAATAATTTTATTGTTAAAATTATTCTTTTTTAAAATAATACTTATTGAATCAAAATTTATTTATGAAGTTTCACCCGGCAGCCGCCCAGACGGTATAGTGGTTAGGGGAGCTTGATTAGGATACCGACAGGCCTGGGCTCTAATCCCGGAAAAGGCATGGTTGTAATTGTCCGTCTCTTCGTAGGAGGCAATGGTGGCCCACCTATTAGGTTGTCTCCATAATAAAGAGATAACCACATCTGGCCTTAGTATAGATGAATAGACTCTGTTACAAAACTGTAATTGTTCACAATCTGCCATTGGAAAAAAAAAAGTTTCATCCTGCAATGAAACAAAATCTAACATTCTAATTTTAATTCCTGTTTCTGTATCAAACAGTCTAACAATTGTGGGAAGTAATTTTAAATCTTTGTGGTTGGAAATATCATAATATAGGGATATAAATGTGCATTTATCTAATTCTTTCTGCAATTGTGAAAACGAATATGATGAAAAAACATTACAAATAATTGCTTCGGTTTTTGTCCTTGCACGTGCAAATTTTTTGTCGTACAATGTTTTGATCATTTGCGACGTACAATCAATTGATCTGAAACTTTGATTGTAGTTTATGGTGTGGAAAGCAAATAGCCCTTCAGCTAATGCAAGCTGTTCCTCCGTTACACAACAATGCATATTCCTTGACGAGACGTAACGACAATGATCGAACACCACCGAGTAAATCTAACTCGTTACATCCCCTAATTTAGTTTACTCTGCATGCATTTTATGTGTTTTTTTTTTAATTTCTTGAAATTCATTATAATAATTGGTAAATAATAGGTAATATAATTTTACAGTACATTTAAAATAAGAAATGCAGATGTTTTCTAAAAAGCGGGACATTTTTAAAAATCGGCGGGACGCGGGACAATCCTCCAAAAAGTGGGACTGTCCCGCCAGAATCGGGACGTGTGGTCACTTTAGTATAGGGTCAATGTTTACGAAGTTAAAGCTCGTAGCCATCATTTTCACCTAGATGTAGATTATTTTACGACCGCAAATATCAGTAAAGCTAATTGCTTATGAAAAGATGTACACTCTGCACTGAAAGTGGAACCGTTCTGCATCTGCCGTTCTACTGGGCAGACTGACGAAATTTAACTAGCGTTTTTCATATCTCCAAAGTGCGACTTAGGACAGGGGTTCTCAACCGGTGATACGCAAGAGAGAAATAGGTGGTATGCAAAGTATAAGGTGTTTATAAAGTCCTGGACCCATTTTGATATTTAATAAGTCATAAAATAATAAAAATAGATTAAAATTAATAACATAAATGGTTAGATAGACTCAAAAAGTTTCTTGACCCTTGTCAATGAATTTCCACGTGTGCCCCCTTCGTCGCACGGAGAATATCAAGTCGATATTCCATTTCACGCCAGGTACCGGCAAGCATGTCGGCATCCACAGAGACTATTGTGATCTGGGTGGCCAAGGAATTGGACCTCCTCACCCAATCCATCTTCCTGTAAAATGGTCATTTAAAGAACTACGAACAATGGTACCCCAATGAGGTGGTGCACCATCTTGTTGCAAAAAGACATGTGGCTGAAGCTCTTCTAATTGTGGAAATACGAAGTTTTCCAGCATATCTAAGTATACGACTGATGAGACCGTCTTTTCTGTAAAAAAAGAAAGGCCCAATGACTCGGTCGTGCATTAGTCCACACCACACATTAACCTTTGGGGAATCCCTTTGTGCCTCACGGTATTCATGGGGGTTTTCAGATCCCCATATGCTCACATTATGGCGATTAACAATACCAGAAAGATAAGAAGATGCTTTGTCGGAAAACATTATGCGCTTCAGAAATTCAGCATCATCTTCTATCCTCCTTAGCACATCTGTTGCAAAGGCCATCCCCCTAGGCCTATGGTCCGGTTCCAAAACTTGAACAATTTGAACTTTGTATGCATGCAGTCTTACTTTTATCTTAATAACCTTGTACACCGTCGAAATTGGCATATCCAATTCTCTTGCTAGTGGTAGAGAATTCGACTCCTATGAGTTGGATCCGGCCTGGAGGTAAAAAAGGACTTCCTACCTCCATGGGACTCGGGACAGAATGCATATCATCTTCAGGGGCTTCTAATTTTTGCATTATTCTTGTTTTATCAAACTTACATCTTAAAATTATTTTATTTTATTTAGTGATTTCATTATTTTGAACCAGTTCAAAAATTTAAATATTACTACTACTGGTGCTCACTGTCTCTACATCCAAGAATTAAATTAAGGTACAAGTTTGCAACTTGAGAGACGTAAGATACTTATTTCAAGCAGAATACAGTGCGTTATGTAACAAACACAAATTACTTCAGTAGAGTATTAGATACTTAAACATTCATACGTAATGTATAAAATATGTAAACATAATGGCAAATATTTTTTAAACAGAATAGCAATCAAATATATTATGATCACGTGTAAAAAATTTTCAAAAGCTAGCTTGAATGCACGTTTGAATTAAATATTGTTACGGATTTGGTGATTTAAATAGCTAATGTTAGTTGAATTATAAATAAAATTGTTTTATTCCCCGTGCAGTGCAGCGCGTGACGAGTATTAAAAAAAGAAAGCTAAGCCGAAAAATTTAAAATACAAGAGCGCGTGCATTTAACATTTAATAAATATCTCTTTCGAGAAAGTTCCAGAAAATTCTCGCGCGCGATTTAAAAATCTTATAAAAAGGAGGAAAACCTCTCAATTCGGTGATTTTAGTTAGTTACTTAGTTTGTTGTTGTTTTAAGAGTTTGTTTAGAAAACTGCTCTTGTTGATTGTAGCGAATTCGCGGATAAGCTTTCTTTAGCTGTTTTGATTTAACTTCTGTTGAACGTTTGAGTAGTTAAAAGATAACTACTGTGAGATATTATAATACTGAAAGAATATCTGAGGAAATTTAAGCATTTTTGTTGTGATAATAATAAATTTTGTTAATTTTTCATCGGACTTGTGCATTCATTTCGTAACGAACCCATATGCACGCAACAATATTAATGCCATAAATGTTTGAGCTTTGGCCAGACGATATAGAGGTTAGGGGAGCCTAGTTCCGAAGGGCCCGTGTTTGAATCCCAGAGAAAACATGGTTGTATTTGTCCGTCTCTTCATAGGATGTAACAGTGGCTCACCTATTAGGTGCTTCCACAATAAAGTGGCCACCACTTCCGGTTTTAGTAGTGGCCAATCCTAAGTCGGCTAAGTGACCGCCAATGGGGAAAAAAAGCTTTTAAGGTTTAAAATTTAATGAGAGCAATGTAGACAGTTCGTGGATTTAACAAGTTAACAGAAGTTATTTTCAGAGCTGCTGTGTATGTTTGACATTTTTAAGCTTTGAAGACAATCATAAATAGGAAATTGTCATGCTTTAGGATGTTCATAAATGACACTAACAGGAATAGTAATAATAATAATAGTAATTTTTAACCGTGCTATCGGTCTTATGAGGCCTAGAAACTATCAATCTGCCACGGTTTTGACATAGATGACTAGGAAATAATTCTTTAAGGAAAGTTCTGTAATTTTCATTGTTAATAGAAAATATTAGTTTAATATAACTCCATATGATTTAACTTGAGTGCTTCACTTCTCTCATCACAGCTCCAGACCGTGCACAGAAATCATCTTCTAGAGATGACTCTGGACAACCCATGACACCGGAACGTACGAAGAGCTCCTCTGTCAGCAGTCCGATATCGGGGGACGAAAACGATCCAGGAGGTGGGACGGATGATAAAATAGAAGGAGCGGAAGAATCTGATACCGATATAGGATCTGACGAAGAGGAACCGGAGGTGGAGGACACAGAGGTAAATAGACTGCTTTTTAATTGGCTAAAGAAAGGTTCCTTCTTAGTTTCTGGAAAGGTCTTTGCGTGTAATTTATTAATCTAGGAAAATTTGCATAGTCGAGTCACTTTTATATATTATCTTCCCTGATATAAGATAAGTAAATGAATGTTCTAGCTGTTACCAATTTATGTTAGAAAAGGAGAGGAAAACCGAAAGGAAACATTATATGTTAAAGCATGAGAAAGAACAATAATATAAAATTGAACAATAATATAAATTATTTTTATATCCCTTTTTTTTATAGTATGTGTGTGTTTGATAATATGTGTGTGTGAGAAAGGGTGTTAAAGCGAATTTCTAAATTTAATTCGCTGTGTTCTCTTTTGTTTTTTATTTGATTTGGAAACTTCATCTCTCTGTCCTGGAAGTGGCGCTGTGGATCTAAACTGCCTCATTCAGGTTGATCATGCGATCTTGCGTAACGCTTATTTCAGATATCTCTTACCCAAACAAAATAATTGTAAACCAAAACTAACACGAAATGAAACTTGACTTCCTCCCTTCTTCCTCTGAAGTAGTGCAACACTCGCTTTTTTTTCGCTTGAGCTTTCGTTCTGTTGGGACGTTGCTGCGGTCATCTGTGTTCGCTTTTATCGCCATTGTATCAACATTGTTCTGGAAGACACAATTGGAACGCCAAGTGAATTGTGGCCACTATTGTGAATTTAAATAGATATGGAATGTAATTTGGCTCGACTGCTTATTCTTCATCGGAATTGCATGGACGCTCTGGGCGTCAAGTAACTTCGCAGTCAGCATTTCTACGCTTTTACGTCATAGTGTTTTTGTATCAATGCTTCCATGAAAATGTGCTATCATTACCATATATATATATATATATATATATATATATGTGTATATTAATATGTGTGTATTAATATGTGTGTATATTAATATGTGTGTGTTTGAATGCGTTATAAGATTTCTCTGAGCTCCCTGTATTAATCCTGCTACATATAAAGCTATTGTTTCATTTCTAACTATTACACTTAATAATGCTAACTTTTACTTTATTTCACCTAATTGTTTCTAAACGGATGTACATATTACGCTTCAGCATATAAAATAAGTTTATGGAATTTAATTCAGGGATGAATGTAGTGAATCGGAGTAACATGAGTAAATTTGCAGGAATAAATTTTAAAAGTTAAATATAACTGTGTTTCTTTAGTTCATTCTCCCTTCTTATACACATTACGATTATTCTTATTAAATCTTGTTATTTTGACTTGCTCTCAAATGTCTGTAATCGTTTCAACTGTTCATTTTGTTACATATAAATGAGATGTTTAGTTTCGAACTGCTTTTTTTTTCTTATTTAGCTTCTGTTAGAATTAGTAGGAATCTCACCTAATTTTTATATTTTCATTGCGCGAAATCAATTCAAACCTTATATCTATCTTCACCTTAGATTAGTTAAATTATTTACTAAAGTATAAATAGTATTTATAAAACCCAAATATTAGTTATTTTCAGCTTATTTGTCCAAAAAAATTGAATTTATTAGAATAAGAAAAATTTACAAGCTTATCTAACATTATTAAGCTTATCCAACATTAATCTAGTTTGAGGGGGAGGATAAAAGCTCTGTTTTGTAGGAGGATACATTTTAGGATTTCGCCTTATACAAATATTAAATTAAATTCCTGCTCATATTTTCGACGGAAAAGAAATACTTATGTCAAAGGTTTGTAGTTATTATGTTTTTCGAAAAATGAAACGAAATTGCTTAATCTAAATTTCAAATTTATACGCATATTTATTCATTGCTTAAGTTATTAATCATGTGAAAACAACAAATTTTATCTTTATTTGCCACAGTGTGGTAGATTCAAAAGAAATATAAATGCTGACTTGAGAAATATACCACAGCCAAACTGTGACAAAAGCCAACTAGCAGAGCGTTATATGTGCTATAGATAATTCCACAGCAAACAAATATCGTCAGCACATTAACTGCAGAAAGTAATATTAATATTGTCTCTTAAAATACATGAACTATCTGTAAAGCAGATAGTTGAAAACTCGATTACACAAAAAGGATGACAGATACGAAATTAGATAGAATCCCTAGAAGTTCCATAGAAAGATAAGACTGTGACTCATGTATGTGGCAATTTTTGAGAACGCTGAAAGACGATTTTTAAATTTGATCGGACTATTTAAATCAAACTTACTCGTATATACACAATATAAAGACGTGATAGTCAATCTAAGGAAGAAATCATAGGAAAGGTTCATCTTGGTACTCCATTTGGGAAACGAACTTATTACACTCCTTACCTTGTTGTCATTCGTGATCATACTTCGACAAAGCTTCGTATAGTTTTGATACTTTTTTAAAGGCAAAAAAATCATGAATCTCAAAATGATAATTTACTTCAAGGGCCAAATCATCTTCCTGAACTTTTGAAAGTTTTAATAGATTTTCGACTTCATCGAATTGTATTTACGTCAGTTATTCAAAAGGCGTTTTTCCAAGTTTCTGTTGCTTCTGAAGATCGGGATTCAATGCGATTTTTACGGATTCATGAGAATTCAAGTTTGAGCAGTCAGAGAATTCAAGTTTATTGGATATATTGTGTATTTCTTGGAGCAAAATTAAGTCCATTTTTGCTGAGTGCTTGCATTAAACATCATGTAAAGAAATTTGAAAACATCTCTTCCAGAACTGTAGAAATGTTAGAAAACTTCATGTGTGTTGACGACTTTATTTCTGGATCAAATACGGAGGAAGAAGCTGTAAAATATATCATGAAGCCAATGATATTATAAAAAAGGCATCAATGACTGTGACCAAATGGAATTCTAATTCGGATACTTTAAAGAACAATATAAGTCAAGTAACAACTTCGTCAGTTTTAAATTTCCGACTGTGATTCCCCCCTCAAGGATTCTTCGACTTCAGTGGAATGCGAATAAGGATATATTCTGTTTCAATGCTCAGGACATTATTGATTTCATCCTGTCACATGATCAAACAAACCGTTGTGTTTCGAAAGCCGCTTCGAAGATCTTCGATCCTGTTGCGTTTCTTGCTCCATATGTGGTTCAAGCAAACGTTCTGTTTCAAGATTTGTGTCTTAAAAGTATTGACTGGGATGAAATTATCCCTCATAATTGCAAGACAATTGGAACAAATGGTATAGGCAACTATGTGATCTACCGAAAATCCAAATACCTTGGTGGTATTTTCGTGATTTTGATGAAACCCTGAAACGTTAAAACTACATTGTTTTTGTGATTCATATCAAAGTGCTTACGGAGCAGCAGTGTGTGTGAAATTCCGTAGCTTAAACTATTATGGAGCACGTTAGTGATAGCTAACATCGGAGTGGCTCCTCTGAAAATATTATCTTTACCAAGACTCCAACTCATGGCAGAGGTATTAGGTGCAAGACTTGTAACTACAGTCCGTGTGCATTTTCCTCAAGCTATGATTTATTTAAGGACTGATTCTCTCATTGGGCTTAACTGGATAAAGAACTCACCACAGCAATAAAGCATTCGTACAAAATCGCATGTCGAAAATTTAAGATAAAACATCCCCGAGTACGTCGCATCATTGTCCTGGATCAGACAATCCTGCCGACAAAATCACACGTTTTATTAAAGTGAGTGAGCTTGGAAATCGAGTGTGGTGGCATGGACCTCCATGCCACCACATGCTACATCAAGACGAAATAAATTGGTCTAAAATAAAGAAGCATTATAACATAGTATACACTGCTGAAGAAAGAGTTGTGACCCAAATTACCAACAATGTCCAACCTTTACAACCTGTGTTTAAGATAGAGAACTTTGGCAACTTAAATAAACGTTTAAAAGTCATGTCGTGGAAGAAACTTTATGTATAGCTAGTTCCTGACAATATTACTTTGAGAATAAATTGAGACTTTACTACTGAAAATTAAAATTTTTACAACATAATTTCATTTCATGAAGATTGTACAATTCTTCGGTTAACTCCTTACTTTACATTTCTTTGTTATCTATACTTTTTTCCTATTTCTGTAATGCTACTCTTAAACATCCTTAACTTGTAAGGTATATGATAGACTTAAATTGCTCAGTTACAGGAACTGATTTTAAAAAGAGCTCTTGCGAGAAACGTTTTGTCTAATGCATGTAATATGGATACGAAATTTAAATCCAAAACAAATTCACAGTACTACATTAAATGCCAAGCATGTATTATGCGAAATGATGAATATTTTTAAAACAGGATGTTACATCTGAGTAAAAACTCTCATCATGATGCATGATGCTGAAGTTCGATTTGTTGGAGAAAACGGTATAGTGTTACTCTATAAAACTATGTCCTTTTGCATTACACCAACTTAACCTCCATCGTTTCTGATATCATGTAAATGGAAAGCTTAAAATGTTAATTCAGAAGTAAAACAACAAAAGTCAGCGTTTTATTTTCAAATTTTAAAATATAACACTGATTTTTGTTGTTTGACTTCTGAATTAGTATTTGTTCGGCGTGTTATTATGTCTTAATTAAGAAAATGTTCCAAAATACGATTCAGCTGATAGGCTTATGAAAGATATTCACTTTTCAAATTTCATGTAGGATGCGTAGCTATTTTGCAACTAATTTAGGTCATGTGATATAAAAACATAATGTTCTTACATTATTATTGTTTACTTGCTAAATTTTTAATTTTATTAGATAATTTCAAATTTAAAAAAATCAAATGGAGTCTTTCGAGTCAAAGTTAACTTGCTGAGCATAACATAATATTTAAATATTTTATGTGCATAAATGCATGCAATACACAAAAAGCAATGGACAATTTCTTTCCTATATTCAAGAGGTCGTCGTAGATTTTCTTGCGTTGTGCCATTGACTTGAATAAATTTTTATTGCATCATATTTTATTTTACAAGCTTTTTAGTTATAAACAAAGAATGTTATATTTTAAGGCTTATAGCCTTTGCAACATTACTTA